GCGCAGTCAGCAGTCACTTGTGAGGCGAAAATATTAAAAATTAATTAAACAAAAACTTTGCTACTAATGTAAGAAACAATATAAAACACATTTATCGTCGTGCACTTGACCTTGCTCGGGCGGTGGGCAGCGAGCAGCGAGCAACGCGGCCAAAGCCAAAACAAAATCAAAACAAAAGGGAAAGTCAAGCGCAGGCAGAACGAATTACGCATACACTAACCAAAGTAATTGCTGTTTTCTATCTCTTATCTACTCTCACCAATCTACCATCTACTATATACTATATCTATCTATCTACTATATATTTCATCTGTCATCTATATCCCAGGTAGAAATTCTGTCTTCTATTTTCTATCTTCTATCTTTTACCTATATATATATATACCTATATTCTATCATCTATCATATTCCATATATATTCATATATTCCATCTTCCTGCTTTCCTCTGTCATCATCCCTCTTCTCTTTTCCATCTTTAATCTTCCAAGTTCCGTCTTATATCTTTCATATTCCATTCTCTGTCTAACATAGTTCATTTTCATTTTCCGTCTTCCATCTTCAAGATCTTCCATTTTCTATTCATATATCTTTTATATCCTATCCACTTGCTATTACCAAGTCAAGTCTAACCACATAGCTAATATACTCTCTAGAAGCGTATGGAATAGCATAAGTTGTAAGGGGCGTTCAGTCTGACGAGGGGTACCCACTGTACCATGTGAGGGGCGAGGTGCGTAGAGGCCTGTCCTCGTCGCATGCTTGCCACGTCATAGTTAGCAGTAGATTTTTCGAATTTGATTTCATTTTCGATTTCGAGTCTGTATTTGAAGTTCATGAATCTAATTTGCGCGCAGTCGACAGTTTTTTGATTTTTTTTTTACGAGCTCAGAAACCAAGGCAAACTGATATGACAGCGCTTACATGGCGCACACGCATTCTCTCGCTTATTTATGACGTTTCCACATTGCGTGTAATTGACATTCACATCGATTACTTCCTAGTTTTTTTTACTAACGGCCCTGAATGGCACAAGCTTTGCATATTATCAAACTCAAGTGAGTGGAAAATGAATGTTAGAAAACATGTCGAATCACGTGTTGAGTCTTATTAATCAGAGTTGGAGGAAAATTAGATGACTGAGGTTGAGGAGCATGGGCTGTTTCTAAACACCTTAAAAATACACAAAAAATATCAAATCAAAGTCTAGCTCTGGTTTAAACGTTCAACTTAGCTAATGTCAAATTACAATTATAATAATGATAATAATACAATACAATAATAATGTCGATTTATTGATATTTATTGCTGCATAAAAACAAAAGACTTAGGCAACAAACTTGCGGTTTGCGTTGCATACAAAAAAGTGAAAATATCAAATGCAATTGTTGTCTGCCCTCAGCTTACGACTTGCGACGCCTCACCTTGTGCGCATTAGAATTCAATGAAACAATTTTCTTAATTTTTAATGACTATTACTAAATAGTCAATTCGAATTGTTTTTAAATGAATGTTTTTTTTTTTTTTTTTTTTTTTTTGCATTATTTTCTTTGCGACATTGAGTCTAGTTTTTAATGGCAGTTTTTTAAAAAGTTTTTATGCCGATGATAAATAATTGTTTTTGTTTATAATTTATTTCTTTAATTAAAAGTATATTTTGAAAAGAATTCTTAAATCATTAAATATATTCTAGAAATTCCATTTGCATTTTTTAATAGATATTCGCCAAAATTATTTTCATTGCTTTAAAAACTAATTAATTATGTGATTATTTCTGATATTTTTTATGTGTGTTTTTTCCTTTTTTTTATCTTTACCTTTGCCTCTGGGCGCACTTCACTCGCAGCAACTTGAAAAAATCGATTAAAACGCTCAAAATCAACAACTAAAACAATAACAACAAACAAACAAACACTCTCAAGTTGTACACACGCTCGCTACAACAGCAGCAGCAGCAACAACAACAACAACAACAACAAAAATAATAATAAAAAGATAATAATAATAAAAATTCACTTTAATAGCAAACAGATCGTGCGATCGGTAGAATTGGTTTGGATATCAGCCCATGCGGATGCGTAGTGCGTGTATGTAAATCTTGATTAGCTCTTTTCGGCATTTAATAATATAGATGGCAACGACGGCAACAAGAAGAATGAAATACAACAATGGTAACAACAACAATCAGCAATCGCAACAACAATGTGGCTATCATCAAGGCCATCGCTGCGCTGGCTTTTGTAAATATTTACATAGATGCCACCAGAGAGATTGGCTGGCAGCATTCAATGCTCGGCTGCGGCATGGTCAAGGTCGAATTGTGGCAGCTATCAATGTAATATTTGCTGTTTGCCGTTGTTGTACAACAATCGAAAGATGCGCCAGTGGATACTATATAAATACCTAATTAAGTCAAGTCTGAAGCACACTGCACACGAAACTGTTTATCTTATCTGATTTATGTATATCAGCACATTTTCACTATAATTTACTGCGACTAGGATTTAATTTTTATTTTAATGTGTATATTTTAAAGCATTCAAATTTGTTCCCCTTTACTTCTCATTTAGTGGAAGAAAGAGTCCTTTCGTCTCAATTGACTTTCTAGTCCATTCCTTTCGGCACCTGTTTCTCTCTCTCTCTCTGTCTCTCTCGCCTCTCTCTTCTCTTCCTCTATCACCTGTATCAATCACTACATATGCTTCCTCTGAATTTCTCATATATATACCTAGAATGAGAAGAGAGAGAAAGAAAAAAGAAAAAGAGAGAGCGAGAGAAATGGAGGGAAGAAAATAATTTATCTCTCTCTTTCTTGGTCCCTTATGGGTTTTTTATCTCCCTATTCGATGTATTCGGCTTTATTTATTAAGATATATGTACCTATAATCAATGTTTCATTCCATACATTTATTATTATTTTTTTTTTTTTTTATCTATTAGTATAATCCACATATTTGTGTATCTAGCTCACTTTGTTCTGTGTTCTAGTATAGACTCACTCAGAGTTATCTTAATACTCTTAAGAACCAAGACAAATACAGTCTTTCTCAAGAGCCAAACAAATTCAAAGCATTTGCTTATTTGTTTAATCAGTTGTACAATTGTTCATTTGTTTGTTCGTTAGTTTGTTTGTTGGCTTGTTTGTGCTGCTTGCATTTGGCTTTCAATTAAATGTTAAACATGAAAAGCGGCTTCTAACCTTTAGCAGGTTTCAAGTTGAAGTTTATTGACCCTTGGCCAAAGGCGCAAGCCTCAAAGCCTTCAACTGGCGGCGGATCTATAAAGATCGCATGAGATTCAGTTTAAATTTTTGTTCACTGGTAATTGCCTCTCTATTCATTGTTGTTAGTGCTGTAAATAAATTAGCCAAAAAGTTCAAATGGTCAACTAGCCAAAAATAAAATACAAAATAAATTATTGGTAAGGTCGAGCCAAGCAGCAGAGCAGCTGAGCAACCGTTGAATGTCTAATGGCTTTCAAAGTAAAGCCCCATACCGAAATGGCGAAGCAAATTCATTTACATGCAGAAAACAATACGCCGCAATATTATCACTATTATTATTATTTGTAGAGGTGGGCCATATCGTAATGGATTACCATAAATATGGCTCTGAATGTTCTCTGCATGCAGAACCAGGTATTAAAACTCTCTGCTTGCCAATTAGCGAATGTGGCCGAGCTGCCGAGCTAGCTGGAGGGCACTTGGGCATTGGGTATGGAGTCTTGGGTATTGGGCATTCAAGCGTGCTGTCCGAACTGAAGGCCAATGGAGGGGCCGGGCAGACCCGATTATAAATAACAGCACAGACCAATTTAATTGGAACATCATTGAAGCAAAAACCAAGTTGAACAACTAAAACTTTTGCCATGCCTGAGGTCAATTCCACCAGCTGTCAGTCGCAATTATTTATCTAGAAATCGATGTGCATACTTTTTGTTTCATATTATTAGCAGACGATCTAACCACCACCACAACAACAACAACAACAACAACAACAACAGTAAGTAACATAATTGTTGCCAACTGCATGCAAAGTTCAGGGTTAAACATGGCTAAACACCTGCAATTGGCAGGCACCCGCATTCGCTAATTGCATACAAGTAAGCACTAGCAAATGGCTGATTAAGTAAAACAAAAAATAAATAAATATTTTAACCATGCATGTAAATAACAAACTTTTTTGAAAGGTGTTTAACAGTCTGTAGATGATTAACAGCAGGCTAACAATAGTTGGCAACGCGTCAGGAAGCAACAATTGTTAGCTACAACTGCATAAGTTTAACGATTATTTATGCTAAATAATTTATATTTATCAAATAATAATATTTTAACATTAACAACTACAACAATTAAGAAAAATATATAAATACACCTCGTTTTATAAAATTATTTGAAAAAGAAGTTATTTAATTTAAATATTGGCTGTTAGCAGGAGTATAGCTGGCAACGCTGCACATACAAAGCAGCTGGCGTATCGATGGGACCAACTATCGATAGAGTTAACAGCTGAGCTGCATTGACTGCAAACGCAAACAAAATAATTGAAAATAAAACATTTAGCTATATCGCATATTATTTTAAGTTATGGAAATACCGGATACATATTACAGCAAAGATGAATATGTGGAAACGGTGAGTAGCAATACAACAAATATATATGCTTGCATATTAATAATAACTTTCTTTGGATGACCTCATCTCAGGCATCCGGAAACAAGGTGAGCCGCCACACGGTACTCTGTGGCTCCCAGAATATTGTGCTCAATGGCAAGGTGATTGTGCAGAGTGGCGCCATCATACGCGGCGATCTGGCCAATGTGCGAACTGGACGTTATTGTGTGATTAGTAAAAACTCTGTGATTCGGCCGCCCTACAAACAATTCAGCAAAGGCATTGCCTTCTTTCCCATGCACATTGGAGATCATGTCTATATAGGCGAAGGTGCTGTCGTATCAGCAGCTAACGTTGGTTCCTTTGTGTACATTGGCAAAAATGCAATCATTGTGAGTCAGGAAATCAGTTTAATATTTAGCATATTTTCATGAGATTTGTTTTGATTAAAGGGTCGTCGCTGTACGCTTAAGGATTGCTGTGTGATCGAAGATGGAGCTGTGTTGCCTCCAGAGACAACAGTCTCCAGCTATATGCGTTACACGGCCAAGGGCACCATCGAGGGCGGCCAAGGTAATCCTTACTTTGTGCCCGCTGCCATGCAGGATGAAATGGTCAACTATACGAAATCATTCTATGAGCATTTTGTGCGCACTCCAGCTCCAGCCAGCTAAACAAATAACTAATAATTTATGAACTAACATTAAGTATTATATTTAATAAAAAGAACCGAATGACATTTCAGTCAATTAGTCCGGTGATGCAGTCGTAGGCCTCATTGGCGATCTCAAAGACGAAATAGCTCATGCCAGTGCGACGTGCTATAACTGCGGCTGTCTCCTCGGTGTTGTTTTCCTTGCGTGGTTGGATATTGCGATCCATGAGTAGAATAGTTGCCGCATTTCTGCAATTTGAAACGGTGGCCGTTACATGCAACGGCGTTTGCTGTCCATCTGATTCGGCATTCACATCCGCACCAAATTGCAACAAGAGCTGCACACTTTCGGGGTGACTCCATTTGCAGGCCGAGTGCAATGGAGTCCAACCGAGCTCGGTGCGTGCATTCGGGTCAGCCTGATACTGGAGCAAAAGCCTTGCAATGTCTAAGAAATTGTTGTAGCAAGCGCGATGCAGCGGCGTGTATCCATCGTTGTCCTTGGCATTGACGGTGTCCGCATCCAGTTGAAGAATTTCGCGCACCTCACTAAGACGATTCTCACTCACGGCCCACAATATCATTCGTTCAATGCTCGCTGCTCATTGAAAGTACTTATAGTTATTTTAAATCCATATTTTGTCTACATGTGATTACCTTGTGGATTTTTGTCCTCCTCGATGTCATCGGTATCATCATCCCAACCGCTCACAAACATGCCGCGCGGCACTTTGGCATAGCGCAGTTTCTCCATTTGAGATTTCTCATCATCCGAATCATAATCGCCCATTTTGTTATTTCCAAATACTGATTTCTTATTTTTGCAATAAATAAATGTTGATTTTTTGACAGATGTTTCGCAATCGATATTTCTATATCACAGTATCGATATACATGCGTGTGTATGTCATCTATTTTACAGCACTGTAAATGCTAGCGGCAAGAAGCAGCAGCATCGTTGGTATTTATTTTTCGTTCATCGCGGTTTTGTTTACGTTTTTACGTGCACGCCATGTCAAATCCACAGGAGGAGCTTTTGCCGCCTAATGCCGAAGACGATGAGCTAACATTGCCACGGGCGAGCATTAATAAAATAATCAAAGAGCTGGTGCCTACGGTACGCGTCGCCAACGAAAGTCGCGAACTGATTCTCAATTGTTGCTCCGAATTCATCCACCTGATCAGCTCAGAGGCGAACGAGGTATGTAATCAGCGCAGCAAGAAAACCATCAATGCCGAACATGTTCTCGAAGCACTCGATCGCCTCGGCTTTCGCGATTACAAACAAGAGGCCGAAGCTGTGCTGCACGACTGCAAAGAGGTGGCCGCGAAACGACGCAGACAAAGCACACGTCTAGAGAATCTGGGCATACCCGAAGAGGAGCTGCTGCGCCAGCAACAGGAGCTGTTTGCCAAGGCGCGCGAAGAGCAGGCACGCGAAGAGCAACAACAATGGATGAGCATGCAGGCGGCTGCCGTACAACAGAGCAATGCACTGATCCAGCGACCTGCGCAATCGGACAAGGATGCAAGCGGAGGAGGTGGCGGCGGCGGCGGCGGAAACAGTAGCTTTGTGAGCAAGCCCAGTGAGGATGACGATGATGATGACGATGATGACTACTAAACGAATTAGTTTATTTGCTTTGCGCTTAATGTAATTTGTAATAACTGTAATTAAACTATTGTCATAAGTCAAATCTCCGCTATCGTTGCCTCTTTCTCCAGCTGTTTGGCCAGCTGCCTCTCCAAGTGTCTATTTAAGCTGCTTACTACATACTTGCCCGGCACATATTTACCTAGAATTTCAGTATGTTGCTTCCAAAATTCATTGCCAATTAAATCCTCGTGTATGGGCACTATGGCCTGCCGGCCCTTCTGCTCGTCTTGCGAGCCTATCACCACACGCTTGCGCAACAATATCGTGCCTTTCCGATACATTGCAGGCAACGTGTTGTAGTTGATACCAAACTCCTGGAAGAGCAATTCATTCTTGTCGGAGGAGAGTGTGCCGCGCAGCCGTTCCTCGGCCTGTTGATTCGTTAGACCCGACTCCAATACCAGCTTCCAAAATGCCGTATTATATAGATTATTTACATGGACATCCGCTTGTCGCCAGCTCAAATAATCGCGCAGATTCTCATCCGAGGGATAGAGCACAATCCGGCCATCGAAGCAGGGGGCGTAGCTCAAAGGGCGCTGCATCCATTGCGACCAGCTCAACACGTAGCTGCTGGTGAACATGCTCGTCACATAGCTAAGCAGCTTGGCAGCGCGTCTCTTAAATGCCGATGTGTCCTTACGAAAGACAAAGGAATATTCATCGCTTTGGCCATAGCCGAGAACAATATCCCGAAATTCCTCCATAACAGCAATGCCAGCCGCATTCATCACATTCAAAGCTGTACCACAGTATTTTCAATAAATTAATTATTTTTCAATTGTGTTTGCACATCTCTCACCATTTTCATCGTTGGGCTTTTCAAATTTGTGCGCGTTGGCGAATTTGTGAAACTTTTTGCCATCGACGCGTATCACAATCCAAACATTTGGCAATATTTTATCATCCTGTTCGTACGACTTAACATATTCGTATCTGCTGCAGGCCATGCTGCGTGTGTAGAGCGCTGTTTCGCATTTATTTGTAAACGAAAACTTGGTAAATATGCGGTTAAGCGCACGGAAATACATTTAAAAAAATATGTTTGTTTTTACCACATGTTAAACAAAGATATTTAAAAGGTGCAAGGTGACACACAGTAAATCGAAAGTTTGGTGACGTCATAACTACATAATTTAAATTGGTCATTAACATATTATGTACGTAATGTATATTATATTGCAAATATAACAATCGTCCTGTCTAAATTATGTTTAAATAATAAATAATAGCTCCTTGTAGTTGGCAGCATTGTATTCGCATCAACAAAAATTTAACAACCTCTTGTTTTGTTCTAGACACATTTCGCTTTAACAGCACACTTCGGTTTGTAGCACTGTTAAAACACACAGTGGTACCACTGGTTAGTGGTATCACTCAATCGTGGGTTTGTAGCCACCGATAACTATCGATAGACTGCCTCAAAATTCGAGCAGCTGTTGAAAAGTATCTCAGTCGTACTTTTCACTATTAAGCGGCGGTTGAATTTATTTGCTCTGAGCGTCTTCATATAATGAGTATTAATTATGAAAAAAGTACGACAGATGAACAACTCGCACCAGTCAAACTGTCAGACGATGACGAAAGCGAAGACAACAATACAAAGACAACAACAGAGCAATCAACTGGCAAACAGAACAGATCGGAGAATGATGATGCAGATGTTGAGGCTGATCCAGGCGCCGAAGCCGAGGCTGACGCCGATGCCGATGGTGAGGCAATTGGAGCAGCCAACACACACGTTGTGGCACATCATTACAATGAGCTAAAGGAGACCGGACGCAAGGAGCGACACAAGTCGAAAATTTTGTATATGCGCAACTTTAACAACTGGATCAAGAGTCAGTTAATTAACGAATATATGGACCTAATCAAGCAGCAGAAACGGGTGGGCGATGCTTTGCGTGTGCTGGATATGTGCTGCGGCAAGGGCGGCGATCTGCTCAAATGGGAGAAGGCATTCATATCCCATCTGATATGCACCGACATCGCTGAGGTGTCTGTGGAGCAATGTCAGCAACGCTATCAGGACATCTTGCAGCGAGCAGAAAGTTCGAAATTCGCACATAAATTCACAGCCGAATTCTTTGCCTGCGACTCGACAATGGTGCGGCTGAGGGAACGGTATAAGGATGCGTCGCTGCAACTGAATTTGGTCTCATGCCAGTTTGCCTTTCATTACTGCTTCGAGTCACTGCAGCAGGCAGATTGCATGATCCGCAATGCAGCCGAGTGCCTGCAGCCAGGTGGTTATTTCATAGCCACCTTTCCGGATGCCTACGAGATTATGAAGAGATTAAGGGAAGCTGGACCAGATGCTCGGGGCTTTGGCAACGATGTCTACAGTATTGAGTTCGAGTGCAATACGAAAGTATTGCCGCTCTTCGGTGCCAAATATCGATTCCATCTGGAGGGTGTTGTTGATTGCCCAGAGTTCTTGGTACATTTCCCCACGCTCGTTAAGCTGGCTCGACGTCACGGCTTGCAGCTGGTTAGGCGCAGCAGTTTCGCCGAATACTTCAAGGAGACCCTGCCTCAGGGACGACAGCTGCTACAGCGCATGTCTGGCCTGGAAACGATTCAACCGTATCGCTGCGACACCAAAGATCAGTTCGAGCATGTGCTTCGCATATTGGGCACACAGCGAGCTCGATCCGTGGGCACACTCTCCAAGGCCGAGTGGGAAGCAACAAGTGAGCGCTAGATTTATCTGTGTATACTTTATATTTTTATCTCATCTTCCCCCTGTCTCTCTTTCTCTCATTTAGCGCTTTATCTGGTCTGTGCGTTTAAGAAGTGCAAGAACAGCTGGGATGCCAATGGCAAGCCCGTGTTCAAGTTTGATGACTGAATTATGCTCCCATAAGACATTTATATCTCTAATTGCATCAATGTTCGCCGAAGCTTTGATTTTCGGTTATATTTTGAAATAATTACGACACATACTCAGCATGAACAGAGTGTATATTTTAAGTTTGAAAGCTTTTAACATTAATTTACAAATATTTCAGTTGAAAGATTGAAAACATCTAAGACTTTTGATGTTCTTTGAATATGCATAAATAAACATAAAAGTTGATTGTGTTCTAAAAATATATACAAGTTTTAACGGACTATACAATAGACATATGAATACAAACAGATCTTTTAATTCAAAATACTATAAAAAAAAGTCGCGACTCTAACTGCAAAACATTAGTAGAATACTAAAAAAAAAGGAGCTGAGACTAGTTAAAACTTAGAAAAAAGCTCGGAATTGTAGAAGTTTACACAAAAATATGGATATTACGTACATGATGGATGACATTCATATATGTGAGATATGCATTAAAGAATGGAAAATAAAAGCGTTTTATATATACATAAAACTATAAAAAGTTTATCTTTAACATACTAGAACGCAGAACGTTATGATATATACGTATTTTATTTATATATGTATATTTTAAAATGTATTTTACGAAACTTCTTTTTTTTGCAGTTATACAATTGTAAGTTTTTGGCATAAATAAGGGAATGTTCAAGTAAAACACATTAAGCTAATATCTTTGTAATATCCGAATGAATTATAGCAAACTTATTATGCAGCCCTCGTCACAAGAGAATCTCTATCATTTCAGAAGCTTTGATAACGAAGCTTTGTCCAACCAGCGAATTCGAAACTGGAAGTCCACTTGGCAATTGCCGAAAAGCTTTATGGAACGCACAGGAAATATGTATTGAGAGAGCGAGAGACAGAGAGCGAGCAAGTTCACGCGAGAGAGTGAGAGTAAAGAGAACGCGCACAGCTGTTGCTTTCACAGCGACGGCGCCATTGAAGGACAACGGGCAAAGGTTAGTCCTGACGTTTACGTTGCCGGGTCGTGCCCGAGACCGATTACCCAGCGTGTGTGCGTGTATGTGCATGTGTGCGTGTGGATGGGTGCGAGCCTGTGCCTGGCATTCAATGCATCAATGAATTATTATAGCTCAAGTGTAAATAAATATTTGATAACACAAACGAGAAGGTACGAAACGAAGTTTGGGCAAAATAACGGCATAAATTACGTCCATTGATTGGCTGATGAAGGCAACAGAAGCGGATAAGCGCTTTCTCTTATCTGTTTAAGTGTGTATGTGTATGAGAGAGACTTAGATCTCAAGCACACTCACACACACACACGCACTGCTTATGCTCTTGTTCTGTTCATTTTTTTGCAACTCTCCCTCTACAGCTCTGCATCTTTCTCTCTCACTCTCTTTGCCTCTCTCGTCTAAGTCTCTCTCTCATCTCTCTTTGTGTAATGCTTTGCCCATCTTCAAGTTCTTGTCAGATAATTTCATTATTTAAAGTTTTGCTCATAAAAATAAACTTTGGGCGTAAAGTTTAAATTTGTTTTGCACACACATGCAGCCACACACACATACACATATACAGACACATGCATACATACCTACATGCATGTTGTTTACAACAGAGCAGCATGCATGAGTGTATGCGTGTGTGTGTGTAAGTGTCCGCTTCGCTTTGTTTAAAGTAGAACGTGCGTATTTAGAAGGCAAACAACAAAACTGTTTACATACACATATACACACACACACACACGTAGAGAGGACTCGGTCGACTCGTGGCACAATATTGCCTTCCCTCTCGTGCCGTCCCCTTCGCTTTGCTCTTACCCTTTAGCACCTGCTACCCCTCGGCCTGACGCGCTTTGCACTGATTGGCCCTAATGAATCTTTTTGTTACCTCCTCATGCAGCCGCCTGCGCATTGTTCCATGCGGTCTATGCAAATTAGTTCACTTTTAACCCATCAAAACGCCCAGGACTTGCATTTGAGCATGTGTTTACTTGATTTCATTTACTGTCAAATAGTTGATAATGAAACTTTCTAGCATTTCATTAAATATGTAAACGAAAAAATGAAGAAGTTTAATTTGAGTTGAGTTGACTCTAAAGGGACTCAATTAAGAGCTGACCTTGTGGGAAGTTCTGTAAATATAATTTAGAATTTGTTTGGATATTTATATAAATAAACAAAATATATGTAAATATACATTTGAATATATACATATGTAGATCAACATTTAAGATTCTATAAATGCAATGTAAAATAAGTTGTAAAAGAAATATTTTGAAAAATATGTATATATAAATTCATAAACAATTGAAATTTGAATTTTAATCAATATACAAAATTGATTTAAAAATTATAGAATTAGGGATTTATAAATTAAAATTGTAAACAAAATAAATAAAAAGTAAAAATAAATATTTTTAATCTTTATATTTGGAAGAGTATTTACAGATGTTTATTACAAAAATGATGGCAAAAAATTTAATACATTAAAAACAGATTCCGCAATATTAAAAAAATAATTAAAAAATAATTAAATAAAATAATTTGTAAAAATTTGTTTTCCGTTTTAAATTTACTTTTAGATACATATTTTTTGAATTAAATATATATTATAATAAAATCGTTGTATTTTATTTTATTTCAGTACCACACAATTTTTTTTTATATTTTAGTATGCAAAATTACTAAATTCAACCTCCTCCATATGTTCAATATTCGGACTAACTAGAATGCTCCATTTTTCACTAGAATTAAAAGCAACATCCAGAAAATTCTTGTACATTGGATTCAATATACACTTTAGGGCGAAATCATGCCGGAAAATTCCCACTCAAATTGAAGTCTGATTAATAGGTGAAAACTTGTTTATTTATATTTGATTTCTTTATAACAATTATGTTATTTTTAAGGTATTTCTTAACAAATGAATTTACATATTATTTTTTTCTTGGAAGCAACATAAAATACGTTGAATCTATGGTTGACACTGGGACTGAGATATGGGTTAAATCATTTGCCACACAATGGTTTGCCGGGCTGCTGAGCTCTGCTGCAGTGTGTATTCGTGATGTATTCTGTATGTGTGTGTGGGTATCTTTTGTGTGTCGTTGGCCACTGACAGTCAGCCAGGTGGGTAGGCGAAATGAGTGGCCTTACATTACGTATACGCAGTGTGTACAAACAAAATACATACCGCAATGTTTATTTTGTAAGCCTGTCGAGGCAAGCGAGCGAATAAGTGTCTGTATGGCGATGTGTGTGTGTGCAGCTCATAAAATGCATAAGTGTATATGTGCACAAGTGTGTGTTTGTGTATGTGTAACGGCTTGTGTTTATTCAACCGCATGGAACAATGTGAAAAACGCATGCCAGGCATTTGCCTTTGTTGTAAGCAACAACCCATCCTCCCATTACACAGCCCCCTCTCTACTAGCCCCCCTCTGTGCCGCTTCTTGGACGCCCCTGTCG